ATGGGTTTGTTAAAGGACAGCCAGTGTGTCTGCTTTTGTTCTAAAAATGTTTTGTCACTGTTAATAAGCTCTGCTCCATGAACTGACAAACTACACTTAAAGCTATGTAGAGCAATGTGACGTAAATCATGACTCCTATTTTCCTCCGTTTAGTGCTTCTCAGCAGAACGTAGATGACGATATTTCGCCATTAAATATTCTTCTCCTTCACGACTGGTTTTACAGTGATTTCTATAAATGACAGCGTTTCCAATCTAATGCTGCTGATCGAGCACAAAACGATATTGTTCATTTTGTTACTTATTCGAGGACCTCTGTATATTGCCATCTGACGACGAATCCAGTGGCATACCGAGTAAAAGAGCGTGAAGGCTGCTATTTTCTGCTTAAAGTGACATTCCAATTAACAAGTGATGTTGTTACCTTGCTTGTTCAGAGGAGGAGTTTCCAGCACTGTAATCATTGGAGTATCATTCTCGTTTATCATCGTGGGCACCGTCGTTTTCGAATGTAAACACTGACGACTACGACTCAGCGTCGAATTCTGAAATAAGAAATTCCTGCTATTGCTGCGATTCCACGAGTTCAACTGAGTTTTCGAGGATTTTCCTATAGAGTCAACGAAATAATAAAATTAACAAAGTTGTTCAGAGCAGCAATGGTTTGAAATTCCTACCTTCTATGCGATTTATGAAGAAAAAATGAAATATGATGTTTATTAAGCGAAACCTCCTAACAGTTTACCTCCTCATCGTGGCTCGGAGGTGTTTCAGGGTGTCGGACTGCGACGTACAGCGAGGTATTCATCCCCTGGCAGGGTGGCCCAAGCTGAGAAGGAGTCCGGCTTTCCATCAAGAACCTAAGAGTAAACCAATACCAGGATCTGCCACTGTCTTGGTATTAAAGTCGCATGTTGGAAAATCTCTCTCTGATCCACAACGGCTTCGACTGGCTGTGGTGGTGAAGGCCTGAGGCAGACTTTGGCCAGGCTGACCTCAGAATTCCAGGGAACCACAATGGATTAACCACCAAATCTCCGAAAAATGGAGAGCTGCAGCCCGCAAACGAGTGAGGACAGGCCATTCAAGTACTAGGTATCGTGTTTTAAGCTAAATCAATCACAACGATGCTGAGATATTCGCAAAACTTGGACACCGGACCAGATAGAACCATGATTACCCTTTCCGGGGGCTCGCACATTGCACACTATGCTAAGAAGGCCTTTGCTTTGCGTTTCTTTCAGCATCATTATGGTTGATTTTCTTTAATAGTCTGCGATGAAAATTGTAGTAAGGAGTAAATAAAAAAGTAAACATTGAGACCCGGATGGTGTAGTGGTGAAGTGCGCTGCTCCCCAGTAAGGACAACAGCGCGTGTTCGTTCTCCACTGCATACACCTGTGGTCCGGAGTTTTGCAAATATCTCAGCACTTCATACGAGTTATATTTCACAACATACCCTGCCATTAAGAAGAGAAAGGCAGTAAATAAAAGAGTTAAGATAGTAAACATTGAGATTTCGACTGCAGCCTCAGCTTAACTGGGTTCAATGCCGATGTGGGCTACGTAGATCAATCCCGTTCCCGGGTCATTGCTGATGGCACTGGCAGATAGAAAACTAGCTGAGGGAAATGCGGAGCAAGGACCTCCGTGGCGCAATGTGTAATGCACGAGTCCCGGAAGGGGAAATCGTGGTTTGACTTGTAGCAGAGTCCAAGTTTTGCAAATATTTCAGGATCGTTGTGGTTGATTTTGTTTAATACCCAGCCGTGAGAATTGCAGTAGACAGTAAGTAATAAAGTAAATATTTCGATGTTTATAATATAGAAAGTTTTTATTCGTTTTGAAAACCAGAACTTGTCTAGCTCTAATCTATCACCTGTTCGCCTACTAATATCCTTTGTTCCTCCGGGGTCCTCTAGAAATTGATACAAATCTTATCTTGGAAGATAAAACATGGATTGGCTAACCTCCATAATTCAATGAATAGCCCAAATATCCGTCCAATCCCTTCTACATTGCCCAGTGGAGGTAAGGGGTTTATCCGTCAGGGATTTATCAACGTTGGATGCTTCATGTTTTATATTGAACCTTTTATATGACTAATTTAACAGTTCTTCACTATAGAAGTTAAAGAAGTGATGAAGATATGAAATACTCTCGACAAGCTCAAATTTGAAGCTCCTTTTCTTTCTAACTCCCATGCCTTAATAATACCGGTACAGATAACTTTTGTAGTACGTGCTCAGGTCAGGGATGCCATTCTATTACTGAGTTGAATCAGTCGTATAGTTAAGGAAATACAAAGCCAGTGTTGCGAAGATTTTCGAAATATCTTCAGACTTTTCTATACCGAATATAATGTCCTTATATCTGCAATTCAGATTAATTTTCGGGCTTTGATATTCCTTGTCATGACTAAGCGGTTCTAATAGGCATAAGATAATCAATATTCAATTCACGATCAGCTCGGCTTCTTCGCATCAAGTTCACGCGATCACGAGACCATTGTCAACAAGTCGTCCAATACGCGTCTTCCAAATGGACAAAGCGAAATTGTCTATCTCTTGTACATCCCGCATCTTCATAGAAAATACCCTATAACTGCGCTGTGTTATCGTCTGACGGCTTCACTCTTAAAAAGACAGCTGTCTATTTCTCATAATTGCTGTTTCACATAAACTCTTCACTGCTCCTGGTCGAATGACGTTTTTAAGCACAAATAAGTACTATGTCCTTATAGTCCTGTGATATGCAGATTAATCTATGCGTTGGACTTATCCACTTTGAGTTCCAGTATTTCAGGTTTTCTTGAAAAGCTTACCGCACGGCAGTTATGAAGGCCACTTTTGAACAAAAGCGTAGTGCACCAGGTTTACCAATAGTTGACTATTTCGCTTAATCTGGGATTGTATATCTTAGTGTGTGCAAGGAGATGCAATGGTCTGCTCGTAAACGATATGTACAGGCATGTCAATACCAAGTTCCACTGTTCCACGGCATGGATGGTCAACGTTTTGGGTTAGTGACAAGCTTACCCGAGGTTTCCAAAAATCAGCTCATATGCCATGATAACGAAGACCGATAGCGTAAAAAAACAACTCCTTTGGACATGCAACCTTGGAGATAGCCAGGCTAGGGTGCTCCCACGTGGACTAGAGGGTATGTTGGGAGACGGTCGAACTAGCACCTTTGCTTCCTGATCGATGAAAACACTAACCACTGCGCTATCCCCTTATCGCAACGACATATAATTATCTATTTATTTTAGACGATAAAGTTTCTTCAAATATCTAAACTGTAATGGTCTTGTTCTTATTTCTTTGAGGAACTATCGCATCGTATTTGACAAAATCTGTGGCACCTAAGAAGATTGTGTTTAGAACAGACTGATCACACGTTTCGGAAATGGACTCCATGGTGTTGTGTATGTGTGCCATTCCTTTTTAGTCTAGTATTTGTTTTTCTAGCACATTCAATCCTGGTTAAGCATGGTTATTCTTAGGATCTGGAGATATTTGTATACTTCGTTTCCAAAACTTTACTATAGACAGAACTTAGTCACTGTGAATCTGACAGAGGTTCTCGTTTGTGGCCAGTTTCCTTCAAGGAGGTGGTAGAATCTATGATGGTTATTCTGTTCTAGTTGTCGAGAAATTGCTATCCATTATCGAAATACCAGTACAGTTATCGTATAGCGGATATTTACTTGACTTGCTGAAGAAGATTTTAAGAAATACAGTCCTTCGATAGCATAGAATGTATCTTGCGCGGACAAATGTAATAGTAACGGTTTCGTTTTTCAAAAAGAACGTCTCCTCGTGTGTCACATGCAAAATGGAAGTGGTACTTATTAGTACCAAAGAAAATGTGCTTACTGTCAATAACGAATAGGGTGGTTGACACTATGTTTAGCTGACTTGTCATTATTATACTATTAACGGTATCAATAAATTATGTAGCAGGAAACCACTCATAATGTCGGCGAGGTACATCGCAACGCTCTCTAGTGAAAGCGAGATACATAAACGATTGTAGATCTACGTGCTTCTTTTTTAGCTTATTGTGTTCTAAAAACACCAACTAGTCTTAGGTTCTCTAGTATTGTTATATTTTGAAACTTACACCATAAAGTGACCTGTACAGAAGTCATATGTGGGACGGTTGAAAATTCTAACCGTTATGACCTCTGTGAGTGTCATGTTTTTTCCGGTTCTTGTTTTTTTGGGGAGCTTATTTTTTATTTATTTTTATTTAATATTTTTTCAAAATTTACTTATTTTGGGGAATAGAAGTTCCCTCATTTCTGCAATAAATCGATAAGTTATCTAACACAAATGTTGTTATAGTTGTCGTCCATCGAAAGCTAATATCTAATACCTGCTTGATAGTTTACAAAAAGAAGGGTTCGTTTACCTTTAATTTAACGGGTGATAAAGGGCTGGCATACCAATTTCATTTGCTATGATGAGCCACTGTTGTGGTGTGGAGTGCACGTGCAGAAATAACAGAAATGTGGTTTCATGATAAGCCATAGTAACACATAACAAGTAAAAGCATCCAATGTATGCCCTTAAAGCGGTGAAATAAAGCCTTTTCTATGACCACACCATGTTCTCAAGTACTCGAGAATTTATCTTCTGCTGTCGAAAAAATTAGGACTCATTGCGTCACCTGAATCACCTGTTGTCCCATCGATCGTCGAATGACGAGCGGGGGCCAGTAAATCTTCCACTTTCCCAGGTCACGTGCAAGAGTGGCACAGTGGTTTCTGCTCGCTTTAGGAACTCGTTGAGCATCATACTTTTGATAATTACCGATATCGTGCAGGTCACCCTTCTTGAACAATAACACGGTCTTGCTGGTCTTCCACTGAGTAGGGACCTCTTGTATTCAGACAGGTAACGTGTAAAAAGCCGAGCCAGTGTGTTTACGAGGACTGGCGGAAGGTTCTTCAGGTGTTGGGATTTATCTTGTCCGGACCTGGTACTGTTCGATTTTTCACCGACGAAATGGCATATCGAATTTCGGAAGGAGAACAGGTGGTACAATATACCCATCCTCCTTTATTTCATATGACGGAAGGTGGACGTGGCTATCGATGAGATCCGAGTAGTATTGGTGAATAACTTTTTCCATTGCCTTTCTGGACGCTGTAACTGTTTCGCCTGGGCTTCCGAGTTCATTCATTTTGGTCTTGTAATTGGTAAAGCTTCGGTGGGCTTTGCGAATGCTTTTCCCAGCCTCTGCAGCTCCTACCATTACTGCTGCTCTTCCCTCTTTAAGATCTTCTTTTACCGCTTGCCTGCTTTGTTTTGCAAGTTCGGACGTTAGTTCGCGGTTGCCTGCAGTTCGAGAGAATCCACGCTGGCGTATCAGCTTGAGTGTCTCTGGAGACAGACGTCTTTTGGTGACTTTCAAACTATTAGCTTTCATAGCGCTAACGTGAAGACGTTGAATGAGCCGATCGTATTTCTGGTCGACGTTATCGACAACGGCATTTTCCCAATAGAAGTCTCCAATGATGACCTTGAAGAATGTGTGGTCTTCTCTGTAGAACTTCTCCAAGTCCATATAGAACGTTTCGACTTTTTCTTCGTCATAGTTTGATGTCGGCACATAAACGACGAAGATTTTCAAAGCCGGAATTGATCTACTGCTTTTTAATCGTTAACGTCCGAATCGGGTTGTAAGTTCTTCAAATGAACCGATGTTCATGGACAAACTCGTGTTGACGAGAACGACGACGCCCCCGACGCCGCCGACTCCTCTACTGTCGCGTGTTCCGAGGAACAGTTCTTCTCCGGTGTCATAGAGGGCGTAGAAAAGCTGGCGTCTTCTCGTCTCGGCCAGGCCGATGACGCCGTACTTTACCTTTCTTGCTTGCATGGGCATGTCTTCTATCGAAGATTCGGATGGAAGTGTACGTGCACTGTAGGTACAGATAATTCTTCGTAATCCAGGCAGCTTCCATTGGCCCTAGGATTTTAGCAGCCTCTCTGTACTCGTTCTATCCAATGCTGCCGAATCGGGGCTCTTTCGGGGACAGGAGAATGGAGCCTGTTTCTTTTACTGTGTTTAGCTTTTTGATAACCACGTATAGGTTGCTGAGCTTTGAACGTGGGAGCTGGGTATACTCTCGGGTAGCTTCCTATTCTCTCCAAGAGTAGACGGGAAACTTGTTTATTGGAGGCGACTCCTAATCTCCGAGACACTTTCCTGTCATTTGATTAAAGCCTTTTGGCCAAATTGACTAGTAGAATACAATCCGCATAAGCTTGAAAGCACCCACACACGCATGAATGATTACGTCTCGTAAATACGGAAAGTTTGTGCTAGATCGGCGCAGCAGAAACAGGGGTGCATCTCCTAGATTCAGCTGCGTCTAAGGGAAATGTACGGTCGCTTTTGGTTCGCGATTAACCCCCTATCCGCCAGCTTGAGACGCGCCACGTAGCCTCGCAACTAACCGGCTCGAGATTCCTTATGTGAAGGACCTCCATGGTCATTGCATAACTGAAGATTTCCTGTTCACTCTTTTTTTCGTCGTTAAAAAAGATTAGTACCTATTTCGTTAAAGAAAACCACAGGTTAAAGATCAATTACACCTACTAAATAAATAGTGAACAGGTTTATTGTGAACGATGTCGAAATTTATAGCAATAAGAAATGACGGGAACGCATAGTTTCCAAGTGGAGTCACCTCCACACTTCTGTGCTTGCTGGTCATATGTGGATGTTTCGCAATAAAATTGTCCTTACATTGTGCATTAGTCTTATCTTTATGTTTATCTTTTATATTATGTGTCTAAGTGACCATGTTACATAGAGTTTAGTTGCTTGTCCTGTTGCCGCGCTACACACCTAATATATGGTTACGATTTTATTTTTGTTTTAGACATATGCTAATTATGTCGTCCTTTTCTCTTTTGATATAGGTTATGCGTTTTGCTGTTTTTCACCCAGTTTTATTAACGATGTATCGCAAACCTTCTTATTTTGGTTTCCTTCTGATAACTGGGTCTCAGTGCTGCGCAGTATAGTTCCTCGTACCCTCTCGTACCTAAGTGTGATAACATTTAAAAAGCCTGCATGGAATACTCACAACAACTATGTCGTAGCACTTACTTGGACTGGCACGGAAGGAAGAGGATTTTATGAAAAGCTCGACGATATTTGTGGCTGTAAGCTATGTATATTAATGGATTTAGTGAACTGCTAAGCAACGAAAGCCATTGGAAGAATGGCCGAAGCACCTGGAATACACCGATTCGAGTAAAATTATAAGTTACTGTGATCTCGATGAGGTGAAACCAGATATTGGCATACCGCTTATTTTACAATATTATATCACTCTCTTAGATTTTCCCATACCCAGAGAAATTGTAACAATATTTGCCCTAACTACCCAATGATTTGTTATCAATAGAGAAAGCCGCGACCTCCACCGCGCTCAACAGTGACGCTGCTGATGTCCAATGACTCTGCAAGGCATGTCATTCTCGAGCTCCTAGTAACAAACACATATGGCTTACCAAATCGTCATCTAACTTTTTTAAAGAAGTATATTGGGTGTCTAATGATTAGTTCCTGACCCTGGAAGCATTACGACAGATCATTAAAAGGATGGCAAAAGTATAGTGGCGAAAACAAGCAATAAAAATATTAGTTCTTCATTTACCTTCCACATGGAAAGGAGACGGGAACTTTTTTAAAGGTGGCTACGTGCGTCCATGAGAAGAAGAGTGAAAGAAATAGCTTAACTTAACGCCGCAAGGAGTCATTTTTAATGGCTAGAACTCACTATGCCCCAGGTTGAGCATAAAAGCAAGCTCAAATTATTTGAGACGTAGATAAAATTCATCGTAGCGTAGATAACATCTCATTACCCTCCATTTCCGATGAACTAATTATTATTATTACCAACAAAAAAATTCGACGTCTTAGAAGATGAAGAAAAGTGGTAAGGAGACGAATTAGTTCAGAATTTTTTTAAAGATACTTCGGTTTACAATACAGGAATGGTTGATACTGCTTCTAAACCAGAGACGGTGATGTAACCTTGGTTTCAAATACACTACGCCTTTTTCGCCTTAAGTTAGCCGTTCGATCATGAATGTAGTTGTGAAGCAAATAGACCTTTATCTGTTGTGTGACGAAAAAAAATAATCATTTAAGAAACTAAATTTAGACAAGGCACTATGGGATATGTGGGATATCAAGCGTAGAGGTGATGATTTTGAGGTCAAAGATATGGTATCAGCACACACAAAAAGCAAGGCGTCTGGCAGAACTCTAATACGTTATGAATCAAACCCAACGTCCTATAATTTCACATCATGGATGAATCCATGAAAATTGACCTCGTAAATATCACTCCGAATTTTGAACTGAGATTAACAGTGACCTCATTCTGTCTGAATTATCTGTTCCCAGTATCGCTTACTAAGAAGTGTGCAAAAAGACGTTCTGGGTTTACAAAACGTTTACAATCTTTTTGAAAGTTAGGTGTTGCCGTATCTAACCGAGGTATTGAAAGATCTCACCAGATACGCTTCAGTTTACGTGACCACCATCTTCAGATGGCAAAATCCCTCGATCTACTAACCTTCGTGGAATAAATGTTTTATGGAAAAGCTGGTAATATCTCACTAAGAATCCACATAAAAACCAGATGATCAACTCAGGCAAGAGAACGGTAACCCAAGGTTAATCTTGATGGGAGTACCTATTTTCTTTCTACGATATGCTTCTCAGTGTAGTGCCCTGTTCTTTTGATTACGAGAGAATAAACTTATTGTTTTAGATTCTTACCAATTCATTAGTTAGAATCACAATTTTAACTTATTACTGCCTATTATTTTTAACGGCAGGGTATATTGCGAAATATAACTTTCAATCAAAAATAAATTTTTTACTGTGATATTTTTGAAATTTTAATCTTTTGAAGGCACTTAACACTCCATGTAACTTTTTGACGAGGATATGCTGTAAAATGTTTTGACGGGTGACTGCTGATGGCAAAGGATCGATAGAACTAGCTGAGAGACAGGCGAAACGAAGGACCCACATGTTGTGGTGGTGAACGCATTACTCCCCGGAAAGGACAATAGCGCGTTCGTTTCCCGCCGCAGACACTTTCAGTCCGGGGTTTTGCAAATATCTCAGCATCATTGAAAGTTAGATTTCGCAATATACCCTGCCGTTAAAAAGAATAGGCAGTAAATAATAAGTTAAAATTATTAGTTAGAATTTGACACCTTCTTCATTTTTCGATTACTACATGAAAAAGTACTCATAGTTTTAGTGATATTTCGCTGCGTTTTCTGGATAAATATCAAATAAAACTTTACAAGTTTAATTTCATCTATCCCTTAAATACTCGCTACGTGTAATTTGAGCATCCTGCATTCGAATAACGTCTAATGAGAAGTTTCCTCCTTACACTGGGTATGCAATCCCTCGGGAATCACGCACATCCAAAGGACTTCCCGAATACAAACACTCGAATTCCTCTCATAAAGCCTTTTTACATAAAACAATTGTTAACTCTATGAATGTGGTATAAGAAAATTTATGGACTTCGAATCGTGACGTCTTCTAAGAGCTGAGTTGTCAAATTATTAAAAATCTATTTCAAAACATTTTACAGCATATCCTCGTCAAAAAGTTACATGGAGTGTTAAGTGCCTTCAAAAGATTAAAATTTCAAAAATATCACAATAAAAAATTCATTTTTGAACCCTCTGATTGTATTTAAGAATTGGTATCAGGGAATTGCTGTAGTTGGTTAAGAGTTGGGCTTCTGTTATTTCGCACTAAAATTTTCTTACGAAAAAGTCCCCCGTAATCTACGGATGGTCTCACATAGAAAAATGGGTGGATCTCCACCAAGTTCTCGCTAAATCTGAGAAAACAAAGCTAAAATTCTTACCATAATCTTGACAGCATTTGCCAGCAGTTAAGGGTGCTATTTTTTTCTAAAAATGGTAAACTAGTCTCCTTTAGTTGAGTGTTCAGATATCTCGATCAGATTTATGTCCTGTTGTTCCTTATTGGGGAAAATCAGCAAACTTCACAGTAGCAATTATAATTTTAAAAATTTCATTAGATCGTTTTTAACGGCACACCATGATAACCATCAGAGAACAGTTTGAACCCTCCTACATTAACCATTCAAGCAATACGAATTTTTGAAGAAAAATTACCTGAGAAGCTAGCACAAAGACGTAAGAGCTGTTATCTGCGAAGAAGAAGAAGTAGGTGTAAATGCCTGAAACCGGGTCGTTTAAATGAGTAACCTGTTGAAGCTGCTACTATCTTTTTGTTTCTTTCTACTCTTTTTTGTTCTGTTTGCAAAAGATGTTGGTTTGGTTGACAGCAGTTGGATTTGTGAGCTAAGGATTCTAAAGAGTGGTATCCACGTTCTAACAGATGTAAAAGGCAGTGGAGGAATTTTCTTAGAGCAGTGAGAGTTACTGTGGTCGCATTTGACTTGATTCTCCATATCGGAGTGTAGGGATTCATATCGTCAGCGATTTCGTCTGTCGAACCCTTCAATCTCTGTTTGGTCGCTTAAACACGAGTACCAGGACGATTTCGAGCGTTGTTTGTAATAGTACGCAAGCATAGTATGTTTTTTGCCTTGCCGTTTTTCCTTCCCACTAGGTAGAGTCGTTGTATTACACCGTTAAGACGTAGCCATATGACAGATGTTTGATACTCAGAATTGGCGACATTCCTGGTTCGTGACGTGTTTTTTGCTGTTGACTAGCCAGTCTTACAAAGAAAAAAAAAGGGACAAAGAGAAACAGATCGATCCGTGTTTTGCCGAATCGGTTTAGAGAAAGTGCGATAAAATACCGTGTTCAGACACGCGTTGCCAAGGGATACGCTAAACCCTGAGACATACTTTAAAACACTTGCATTTAACTGTGAGCTTTATTGTTGAGTGACATGGCTTGATTTATTCTACTTGAAGCACTCATGCGACATACGAAACTAGCTTAGTTCTGCTCTCAACCTATTAGCCCCTTCCAGTTCCCTTGTACTGTTCTCTCCTTGTGGCGAAACGAACTTGCATATTGTGAGATCTCACATCCAAAACTCTGCACGTCACTTTAGGAAGCTTTGTGTAAGAAATACGATGTTTTTCTGAAAGTACTAAAAACAAAGGACAGTGGTTTTCTTTTCGAGGAACGCCAAAACGTAAAAAAAGTGAGGTATTCGTTTAGCGGAATTAATCACATCTAATGGACTCGAGAAGCCTTCTTCTATATCCTTTCTTCAAGCGAGTAGAGAACGGCTGTTACGTCATAAACGAATGGGATAAAGTGACTAATGAACTGTAAATAAGAACAAAAACAAATCAAACACCAGTAGACGAGAGTTCAACTTTAAAAATACGATGACAAAGGTGTTTAATCCAAGGAATTTACCCCACATAAAGCGCTGTAGTACACCACCGTTGTCTAAACTGCACAAAACAGCTCAATTTGTAGTCAGTTATTCTGCTGCGAATATCAAAGATATAGGGAGGTTTGAATGATGATTTTAGAAAATATCATTGTGTGTAGTTTCTATAAATATTTATTTTCTACTTAGACACGGAATATAGTTCCATTTTCCTTTCTTCTTAATGAGTTCTTCCGTGTCAGCAACTGAGTAGATGTAGCTCTATGTTGAATGAAATCTCAAAGTAAACCGTCGACGAGAGGCCATCCACCTTCAAATAACCACTGCTTGACGATTTCCCATGCACGTTGATGATGCCGAGAAGTTCATTGTTTCTAACAGCTTCACTCACAGATAAATGTGATAAGTGATGTTTTTTTTCATTCCGGTAGAAAACTATAAAGGATAAGGATAAAGGATAAAGCTCTCGGCGTTGACCAATTCCTGAGGGATGCGCCTTCATTAAACATCGCAATTGGATGCATGTCTGGCCTTTACAATGACTCACCGTGGCCCACCGATGCATCGCAACAGTGCTGATATCCTCTCAAACAAGTTTGGTGCCAATTCACGGACCTCGAAGTGATGGAAGACTTGGTGGGTCATGAGCGTGGGGATCGATTCCACGTGTGTGTTGCAGGGCGACTATGACCACTGTGCCACACACGCGTTTAGAAAATTATAACGTTTCCAAAAGAGAATAAGAAGAAAACACATCCGCCAAGAATTTTCAATCTTTCGTCGTTCATTCATGATCATAAACTTCAGCTAGGAATGAGAAATTAGTAATTGATGTACATTGAATCCAACTCCGCCTTCCCTCACATGAATCGTATCGCTATTATTTAGAGAGAAAGAAAACAACCTTTTCTTTGGTTGTCAACATGGGAAAGCTGAGAATTTCCATAAACAATTCGATGCTTTTCTTCAGTAAGAAGACACGAGGTTGTTAATATAGGATTTATTAGCATACAATAGCTGACGTTTCGGCGGTTTCGCCTTCTTCATAGCCGTTTATTTGTTGTAAGTATTTAAGTTAATTGATGGATAGCAGCCGCACAAAGTAATACATGGGCGATAACTGCCCATGTATTATCGTCGGGTATTATGTCATGTATCGAGACAGCCGAAACGTCGGCTATTGTATCCTAATAAATCCTATAATAACAACCTCGTGTCTGCTTATTGAAGAAAAACACCGAATTATCAATTAATGCCGAGGTTAAAAGAAAGTCGGTCGTGGGAATTTCCATAAGCAGTCTGCTTTGTATTACTCACGCTTCTGCTCCGAAAAATTGTAGAATGTGGAAGCAAAGAAGTGGGTTAGACATAAACCAAGTGTGAAGCTACTAAAGAAAAAGGGAGCCCAAAAGAACTCATGCTTTTGAATATTTTTCGAAATGAACAATGTCTTTTGGGATTCTCCAAAAATCAACGACTGAGATAAGTGGAACTCACCATATAATGGTAACCAACATAAGGCGAACACAACGATCACCGTTAACATCATTGTCGCCACACGAAGCTTCGTTCGTTCGTCACGAATCTGAATGTAGAGATTCATCGGGCAGATTGAAGTACATAACTGAGCTCTGACACCTAGTCATATTGAAGGCAAAAAATAACTTCATGTGCTGCAAGCTTGCCCATCGAGATTAAAATCAGTGGGTACCATTTGGGACTCTACATGTGGCAGCTTTCATTTTGGAAAAGATTATGTACGAAAAGTGAACGATTCTTGTTATGGTTGCCTATCTTTGCTTTCCGGTAATAGAAAGCCAAATGCGAGTGCAAACTGAAAACAAAACCGCGATTGTTCATATAGCATGATCACTTGTATGGTCGGTTACATGGTCTAGCTTCTCCTTCAGAAATGATGAACAGACTCATCTCAGTGCTCTGCTCCGTAATCTAAAACGTCTAAAAAACAGCAAAACCTGCTTAGCTTGTGGCGATTTTACCCCAACAAAGTAAGCTTCTATGACCATAACAAGGTTTGTAAGCTTATGATAAACATTATTTGAGTTTTATTTCTATCCTGCTACCAAGTTCCACCTCTACCGTTAGTAGTAATGTCAAATTAAGGGCAATAATTTATTTTAAGGGGGCAATAGTTCAATTTAGATAGTAGTTAAAAAACGACTACTAAAGTGCCTTAGAGACTTTTAACAAGCATAGAAACAACAGAATGAGTTTAGTTTTCTAGACCGCTCAAAATCACAGCTTACTTTAGTATTTTAACATGACGCGGGAGACGCGAACGTGTTCAGTCTGCCTCAACGTCGTCAATCTCTACTTAGAAATGACTTTCAAAAAAAAGAATCCTGAGGGCAGCAATCTTTAAATGTATGTGACAAGACACTACTTGGTCAACCCAAATGGCATACTATTGCCGCACACCGTGTGTAGAAGTATTTTGTATAAATGCGTGTATCATCTCATTACTAAGCATTGCTTACCAACAGGAATAATAGTTTGCAAACATTTTCAGCTTGATTTGGGAAGTTTCAATACTATTTTGTAAACTCTTAAGTAATTTCAATAGTTGATTATGTTTAATCAGATGTCGGATGGTTAATGTTACCGAAATAAAAATAGAGGCTAAATCTTTCTAAGACATCAATTTCTAAACTAACATGCGCATCAACAGCGAGGCTACGATGGTTCGACACGGTGTAGAAGATTTTTGTATAGGAGACAGAAATGAGCATAAAAGGAACGATGAACGCGAGAATCAGGTTCACCACCACGAACTGCAGCTTCTCATTCGTCCGCGACGCACAAACGCAGAGCGTCTGGTTACCGTACTCGAAGTATATCTGCAAGCTGAATGATATTTCACAAAGCAGTTCTTTAAACCGTCTTCGTGTTGTGATCAAATCCTATTTACTGCTTATTCTTTTTCATAGCATGGTATGGTGTGAATTATAACCACAATGATGCTGGGATATTTGGAAAACTCCGGACTGGCGATGTCTGCGGTGGGAATCGAACTCGCTATTACACTTTCCGAGAGTTAATGCGTTCACCACCATACAAAGCACTTCGGGCATTTAACCTAGTTAAGCTGAAACTGTAGCATAAATCACAAGGTAATCGCTTTCTATGTATTGTTTCTTCCTACTTCTATTCTTCTTCATAGTAACGTATGGTGTAAATTATAATCACAGTGATGTTGGGATATTTGTAAAACTACCAGCTGTCTGCGATTGGACAGAACTCGCTATTACCCTTTCCGAGGGTTAACGCGTCCACTGCCACACAATGCGGGTATTTCGCTGGGGCTTCGATAGTTATATTATTTCTAAATAAAGCAACACTATATTTATCATTTTGACCTTTATTGTGATTAAATTCGTTGGCACCATTTAAATCCGTTATGAACTTAAGTGAATCTTTCGAATATTCTTGCAAAGAAACCAAGCGAAGCGCTCATGAGGATTTTGCCCAACATTTGGGGAAGTAACCACATTAAATTAACTCTCATCACTTCAAAATGACCTGAAAAAGTAGCGACTATGGCTGTAAAAACACTCTGAACGTTGTCTTTATAGTGATAGACCGACCAGATTATAAACTATTCTTAAAAAATACATGATCAGTGAAACCATAACCATTATTGCCCTACAATAAAAAAATTTAAAAACAAATACTCTCGAACAGCCTTTAAACATACATTGTGAGATGCTCAAAATTTATCTAACAGAAAAGCTGAAGAAAAAAGCCACGGACCCGAACAAGGTTATGGACTTGATCGGTAGCGTGGTCCTTCGTGGAAACTCTTAACTTTTGACTCACTAGTTACTTAATATCAACAGGACTTTTCTAAAGAAGAGCTCACCTCATCATATCCGTAGAGACTCGGCGTCGCTAATGATCCACTGACGAACCATATTCCAGCGATGACGTACAACGTGTAACTAACTTCCCATAATGTATATCTGAGTGGATTTATGCATCGTTATCATGTCAATGGAGCTTAACGAATGCCTCTGGTTGTCCGTTTCTGTTCAACAGTACTACATCGGACTTACTTCAGAGTATGACAGATTGCCAGGTAGCGATCGGCTGTCACCGCCACTAGGGTGTATATCGACGCACACGACGTCGTCGCATTTATCCACGTCGACATCTTGCAGAACAACGCACCGAGCTGCCACTCTGAAACAACGCTTTGCTTCAGAATAATGCGATTAGCTCGGGTTATGTGAAAAACAAATTCTTCCCACTACGTATTATTCGTATAGTATTACAATTGCACGTTTTCATCGAAGCCGAGTAACTAGTTTCATAACATTTTAATCGACAATTATCGACATCACTTGTTTAGCGTTCACCTGGATTTTATTCAACTAAGAGTAATCACGTAATCACTACTTGGCTGTATTTTCCATCATAAATTTGAATAATAACTATAGAATTCTTCCTTCAGACTTCGTTACACAACTAGGCCATTAAAGATTTCTGGAGCCATGTGAAAGAGATGAAAAGTTTTGAAGAATGTTAATAATTCTCGGTCAATGTATGACATTGGAACTTCTTTTACATTACTTAAGGAAAAGTTGACGAGCCACATAGAAAAGTAGGAAAGATAAGAAAGGCATCGATTCCTGCACAAGTGAGGGCATACCTGTTCTATTATGGGAACAAGGAAACTTCATGCTGATGTGGAAGTCTGGCCACAAGATATTATAAACCATTTGGTTGTCGCACGAACCACATACCTTCCCCCGCCCCCCATGTTCAATATTTCAACTGGAAAACGCTAAGTGATACGGTATTAGAGACTCAAGCCAGCCAGAAGACTCTCCCAAGTGAACAATACCCATTTCAAAAGAAAAGCAGAATTACTATTGGCAACATTCGTTATAGCGCGCTGCAGAGTTAATGACTGCTTTAGGCTCAAACGTACTTCGATTCTAGTTTTTTCATTCAGCAGATGTATTCTTTATTACTTTTCGCCAGCATAGTCATCCAAACACGATCTGAATTGCATAGATGTTATACCTGATACTTGAACGGCCCATCCTCACTAGTGCGAGCCCCAGCATAGTCGCCATTTTTCGGAGATTTGCTGCTTAAGCCACTGTTGTTCCCTGGAATCCCGAAAACAGCCTGGCCAAAGTCTGCTCCAGGTCGTCACCACGACAGGCAGTGGCAGCCCTTGTGCATCAGAGGGAGATTTACTACCATGAAACTTTGATACCAGGACGGTGGTGGATTCTGGTATTGGTTTACTCTTAGCGAGGCTTCCTGATAGAAACACCGGACTCTTTCTCAGCTTGGGAGACCCTGCTAGGGAGGCTAATCCCCCCGCTGTACATCGCAGTCCGACACCTAGAAACACCTCCCAACGATTATGAGGTGGTAATGGGAGAGAGATATTATAACCTTGTATGAAAAATAAGCACTACCAATCAGTAGACTGTGCCAGTTTACGGCTGTGTACGAAGATAATTGCGGTTTCAGACCATTAATTTCAAATAACTGTACCTAGGCGCAAACACTACTCTGTTGATGAAAACGAGAACGCTGAGAACTCATGCGGTTTTATCAACTAGATATCAGTTTTCTTATTTTGGTAACCGGAAATCCTGTGTTCTGGAAGCGGCGAATTTCTTCGAAGGCATATCTGGCACTGGTTTGGTTGTTGAAGAATTTTTTTAACCACCACTAAATTAGATGCTTTTGAGAGGTGGTAATAGGATGGCAAAAGTCCTGCGAACACGACGGGTAGATCGCTCTTTTATTGTGATTGCTTCATCAGAACAGAAGACCTCTTATTAGATAATTCTCTACATTGAGACATAAAAACTCATTACAATCATCTTTCGACGCTGTTTTGACGAAGTTTGAAGAAGGGTTAGAGACTTCGTCTTATCCCTATTTCTCTGCTGAGCAGTGGTGCTCGTCACACGGGATCTACATTTCATCTTGCACCACAACGTGATCGTAAAGTGAGTCTTTTTCCTACGCAAAAAAGAAGAGCAAACTTCCACGGAATTTTCGTTGCTCTTCATTGAATTGGTGTAGAGCACCCATAAGCTTCTTCATTATGAAGTATCTGCGCTACGAAACTTCGTGAACCATCTCTTCATTGCGTATTCAGAAATCCTTTCATAAGATTTCGAGGTGTCACTATTGGTTTGTATCCAAGATTGAACTGAAGAAGAAAACCGATGTGGTTTCCATGCTTCGAGAACTCGATTTAAACCGATGTAAATCACTGTGAGTCAAAGAAAAGGCATTTCACTACAAGCTGTTTACCAAGATGTATGGTTTAAAATAGCATACAGCAATAGGAAATAAAACAAAGTGTCTTTGCAAAATCTACTCGGATGTCCTAACTTTTTGTAGGCTAAAAATATAATGAAATACGAAGTACTTTGTTCATATCATGACGAAAAATCGTTATAAACTGTGAACCAGCCTAATTCAAACGCTATAAAGTAGACTACCAGCGTATAAACTACAATTTCTATGAATATCTATCACAAAAAGTTTAACTACTCAAGAATCGATTAGGCAGAAGATCAGGAAGCGAAGGAAAGAAATTGCCGTGAACATGATATGAGTAAGTGAAACTATCCAGGAATTAGGTTGGTAAGAAGACAAAAAAATAAAGAACCTCACCTGTCAAAATATTATTGAGCAATGTAGTTGGAAGGCAAAAGATCATTATGAGCAAATCGGCAATGGCCAACGACGAAATGAGGTAATCAGTTGTACTTCTGAGTTGCGATTGCGAGACAACCGCCAACACAACGAAAACGTTCCCTGTAGAGACGAGAAATCAATTCCCACATTTTAAAAGCTTTTTTCGATTTTCGTTTTTCTGACCGTTTTCCATAACATTGCTGAGTTTCACTAGATCATAAAGTAACCGGGACTTGTAAGAAAGCATGAAACAAGAAGAAATGTCGATGAGTTTGTTACTCTTCAACCTACTGCAATCTATCTAGTTAGTTCATAACAATTTACCCAGCCAAGCACTTTCATAACCAAAAACAGAATGCTAAAAGTACTAAGAAAACGGAAATGCCATCTAGTCAGTGGTTTGGCTGGAATTACGTGCCTTTTCTTTAGTTTTCTCCAGCGCCTAACCACGAGTGCAGATTACCTTTTTTACAACGACAGCTCTTGAAACAGCAGTAAACGCCTTACTTAGCTGAAATATTGAGAAAGTAGCCACTAAATTTACTGCGAACCTCGTGAACTGCCGTGCTTTATTGTAATCGGAACAGAAGAAGGCTATGAGATGTTTTAATGAGAATGGGACAGAACTTTTTTACTTCGCGTCCACCTCGCTTACAGTAGCAAAATTTCATCATGCAGGAAGCGGAAACAGGTGCCATATATCCTGAAGTTGATGAGAATTTTCAAATTCGCCGTTCTCGAACTGAGGTGGCCAATTTATGAGCTCAATTTGTGAACTGCGTTCGCCGACGGATATGCCACTCCACACCGACGTCAATTCTCCGATTGTCCTATCATATACTTGCGTGGATTCTGTAGGAGGCTAAGTGCATAATTTACAGTGGTCTGTTAAGATATGGCGAAACGTTCCTATGTGAAACCTTATACCATAATAACAAAATATTTAGTAAGATATTGATATATTGCTTCTGAAAATTTGTGACGCACTGATTTAACGTTTTCATAAACTCATTTGCTGAAGCACGTAGCAAAAGTTGCAGTTTAACTCGAAATAACTTGGATTAAAAAACCAAGAAAATAAGCAAAACGGACGCTATAGTGCTCTTATCGGAAGTTCATGCATTGGTATGCTTAAATGAACTATCTTCACGAAGAACAGTTTAGGAGCCACATGTTCGCCATTCTAACTGTTACATTCTTGAATTGGTAGAAAGTTCACCCCACTACTCCGAACGAACAAGCACCAGGGCGTCCTAAGCTGGCTGGCATGCAAATAACAAGTCTTTGATGTATCGAATATGGAAAAAATGCCTAAGAGTAGTAAGTTTCACTGACGACAGCTTCCCTTACGTTGTGAACACCTGTTTTACATCGAGGTTCGACATCCAAGAACGCCCGTCAGTCTCGGTTAAGCGGTAAACCATTGATGCTTACATTTTACATATGATATAAAAACTCTGGAAACTAACCGAAAAATCCTGTGACGAACACACTACCGTAGAACACTGACTGAAGTATTACCATATACATTTCTTGACGAAAAAATGGTAGCGGACCATTTTCTGGTAATTCCATAATTTATCATGCGTCTGGTATTCTGGAAAATACTATTCGAGATATTTACAATGGCAATAGTTTGTGAACAAGTTCACATGACTAAAGGTGTTCCAGTTGCACTTTGCTGTTTGACGTAGCATCAGTCTATTTACTTGGAAATGTCTGTGAAGGCCGGTCATAGGAAAAAAACATTATAAAAATACAAAAATGGAGACAGAAAGGCAAAATTTAAAAGGTCGATTAGTAAAAGTCGATTGGAATAGAAGCTATGGAACACTTGAAAAAACTTGATAACGGAAAACATCCTTCGAACGGAATGGGATGAAGCTTACGACGATGATCAATATGTTAGCGATGTGACATTAATATATAATTACTTCTTACCGTAGTATTCGATTTCGTCTTATAATAATGTGTAGATTGTGAATGAGAATTTGAGAACTGGAAGGATTTGTGAAGGCCACCGCCTCCGGACTAGCCAGTGTTTTATTGTTCGCAATCGAATTTGTTACCAATTAACCGACCCGAAGAGATGAGGGCCCTTTCTGGGATAGGTCTATCGAATCTACACCAGTGCGTGGGAGAGCGGCATCTTATAAAATAGCAGTCGGTTGTCATCTCAACTCGCATCTAAAGTGGACTATTCGGATGGATAACATGTGTTAGGCGATTTTCTGTAAAACTTCGATTGGTTACAAAGTGTAACACCAGCAACTGCTGGGTGATAATTCACTGTTTTTCTTCGATGAGCAAACACGAGGTTGGTATTGTCGAATTTATTAGCATACAATAGCTACCTCGTAATATGATATGATGCCAACCTCGTGTTGGCCGTTTGAAGAAAAGCAGTGAATTCCCTATAAGTGCTCAGGTTAATAGAAAGTTGGTCTTGGGAATTGATGACTAATAGTTTTAAAGTTGTGTAATAGATTTGAATTGGAAAACCAATCAAATTGAGTGTGGAGAGTCAAAATCGCTGACCATATGATGGTAACTGATAATTTTCCAGGAAGACGATTTATGTATTTCTCGACAAATACAGGAGTAAACCAAAATCCCGCTTTGCTCACATCACGGGCTCTAACAGCGTGAGAAGCTTTAGCCACAGAGGATTTTTAAATGGAAGGCCTTTTTTGTCACTTTGATCACGTGCCTTTCATCATCTAATCTCTCCCTGCGAACGTAGGCATAACAGGGACTTACGAAGTAAACTAGGACAGATTTCTGATCCATCCTCGTCTTTTCTATCTATTCGACATCCGTCAGGAGAACGTTCAACAAATCGGGAAATCCGATTTGTTACCTTACACTTATCATATAACTGCATACATGGTGCACTGAGCAAATCTTTTACATAGACGTTGGAATGAGGGCAAAAGGCAATTAAGTTGAAGAGAACGGCTTAGATAAAAACGTCGAGTACTGGGGCTCTGACGACAAGTTCATAAATTCCATGATTCCTTGAAAGTCTTTTTTCCTTCCAACGCAAGTTGATCTGAACTATGGCGATAAATTTTTACGCGAAATACTTTTTCATATCCCTTTTGCTGTTTGAATGTTGGTCACCGTTTACACGTACTCACTGAAAGATGTTAGAAGTGAAAAAACGGTAAAGGCGATCGAATAATACTAGTGGAATTATGAATGTATTTGAAAGCGAGTAGCTAATGGAAACAGAAGAAACGAAACTCTGGTCAGAGTAGTGTTTTTGTTATTTGGAACACAACTAAGCTAAGTTGAAGCACAGCATTGACCTATCTGATATGGGAATTAAAATCATCTTGCAATAATTCTAAGACCGATTTTCTGTTAACCTCGGCACTGTTCAATAGTTATCTGCTTTCTTGATAATCACCCAAGAGGTTCTCACTATACTACTTATTTGTCAATAAAAATGGTTACACAGCCAAGAAATAGATTTCTGGATAAATCAATAGTATAACAACAACCTCGTGTGTGCTTATCAAGAAAAGAGCGCATTAGAATTGCTCAGTTAAAAGGCTGTAAAAGGACGAAGAGAAGATGACGAGCGTGACATATGGCATACTTAGCCTTGACATACTGAGAAGTGAAAAAGAATTAAGCCAAATTTCTTTTTCTCCACAAAAAAAATCATGGCTCGTTTCTTCTAAAGGCGTTTAGAAGCAAGCGCTCTTGTGAATCGTGACATTTTCAAGCACTGTTAAAGCTCGACGAAGTGTAGTCACATGGAAAACATTTACAACAATCTCAGGAATTCATACCGTAGTTCAAAGCATGCGGAAAATCTGTTCAATTGCCGTTCAAAGTTGTTTACAAACAAGCTGTTTACATTCCAATAAACAGAGAAGCTGAAAACGCTGTGGGTTCGATGATTTCGATGAATTTATTCTGTTACTATTTACTCACGAACCTTCACCTAGACACTATGAAATGATTGGTTTTTGAAAGTTTTCTAGCGGTAAAAGTACGCGTCCTAGTTTTTCGTAATAACACATTATTTCTTGCAGTCTTAGTATCAAAGGAAGTTCGTAAGAGCGCCTTTAATCCGTTTCAGACTACATGTTACCCATATGGGTTGCACTTAACCGAAAATGTTCTAGCAATATCGTGAATCTGCTGAGTAAGGCATTTTAGAAAGAATTTCTGAGAGAGACCAGTCCTGCGTGGTACGTGGTGGCGTATGATTAGGCAATGTCGGTGAACAGTTGAACGCCTCGCTAAACAGATGATCTTCCTCATTGCTCTCGATGACGAATATGGCCACAGACCTCCTCCGCCCTTCACCAATTTTAAATACTTATGACTGTTATCCAGAAAAAATTCTTTGCGGACGAGCTAGTTTCTTTTTCTAAAACCCTCAACTCAAAGAGCTTCATTTCTTGAAGTAAGCAAAAACTTGTGCTCATTAAATTTACGTTTGTTTTTGTTAATGAATAATCGGCTAGCCTTATAACCACTGCTAGCTTAATGCTAACCAAACTAGGCATACATTGTTCAAGCGTAACCTTGAAAATGGGCCTGTGTGAGTCACCTGTGAGTCATTTAGCATCCTATTGTCTACATTGTTTCATGGAGCTTTTCTGCTAATAGTTTTGTAGTTGCTCGGCTGCTTATCCCAAGCGTGTTTTTCGCGATAGTAAGTCAAAAAAGCCCCATTGTCAAGTCGGAAACATTAGAAAACAAATGCTTTCGAGTGAGTTAAATAACCGATGTTTTCTCTTGTAAGTGATTATTTCAATACTAATCGTACACAGTGCATAAAAGTCATCACATATTATGAGTAGGTGTAAAAAGTACAAAAGAATCCTCAATAAATGCTACAAAACTTTTGCACATGCTCACATCAGTACACTTTTATGAAGGACCAAGCTAACATTTAGTAAATAGTAACATAGATCAGTATGGATTAGAGGCGTGTGTGGCACAGTGGTCGGAGGCGCTCTGCAAAACACGTGAATCGATCCCCGCACCCGTGGCTCACCAAGCCTCCATCCTTCCAGGGCCGGCAAATTGGTACCAGGCTTCTCTGGTAGGATAGCAGCAATGGCTCGATACATCGGTAGGCCACCGCGAGTGACTGTAAAGGCTAGATTCAATCACCTCCAACGATGCTTAATGAAGTCGAATGCATGGCGCATTCCTCAGGGATTGATCAACGCTGAGAACTTTATCCTTTTTATTGCTCTTTTATCGCAGATAATACGCTTGCCCAGAGTACGATAAAAGAGAATCTTTCCTACCCATGTTCTTAAGTTCTCAAAGCATCTATTTATCAAAAAATTATCGCCTACTGCCGAAAATCGAACGAGTCCGTAACGACATGAAATTAGACGTCGACCAATGCGAGCGCTACACAAAATTAGGCGTCTGGTGCTACGTATCGAAATGTTTGTATTAAAGCAGCAATTTAGCTTGTAGTTTGATACAATGCGAAAAAAATGTATTGCACTTCTGTCACTCATAATCAATAGGAAAAACGTTTGGATACTGCTACAAAAGCGTCAAAAGGTGGAGAAA